ACCTCAGACCCAGAAGTCTGTCCACAGAATGTGTTTTAATTCAACTTGTCTCTATTCAAAACCGGAGGCTAGATCTTCTAAGAAATATTTTATAGGAGTTGATTGGCCATCACTAATTTAAAGCCTTCTAGTCCAGTAGCCTCCACAGTGCAAGTCTGCAGCAGGGTTTTATCAGTCTCTAATGTATTCAAACTCTGTTAAGGATCTGATTTTTGTTTCTTATATTTTGTATCTGGTTTTTGTTTTGTTTTGTTTTGTTTTTTTGTTTTTATGGAGAGTTTTTTGCTATAGGGCGCATGCGCTCACCAGAAAGACAGAGAGATACAGAGAGACAGAAAGCGAGAAATCACCCCCCCAGGGGGATGGCCACACCGCAATCCCTTCTCCATTCTCCTCTTGGGACCTTGGGCACACACACACACACACACACACCCAGCGTGAGTTTAAGCCGCCAGTCCGGGACTCGAACCAAGGTCGACTATGTGGGAGTCCAGCGACATAGCCATTATTCTAACTGCTGGTCCCCATGTATCTGTTTTTTTAACAACATTTTAAAGCTTGTAGTCAAAAGGAATGGCCATTGAGAAAAACCATTTCTTCCACACCAATGAAAGAGCAAGTCATGACTAGATAACATATTTTATTAATATTCTACCATATTTAAGTTTTGTCAAGATGATTTTCAGATTTTTTTTATACTGTACAGTCTTTAAATCAAATGTAAAAGGAAATATCAAGCCTATTGTTAACTTGGGAGATAAATGTTGAAAAAACAATTTCATAGTAAGTTTTAATAACTTGTTTCTACTGAAAGACTGAGGTATTTAAATTGTTAAATAGATTATTTATAAGCAGTATGCATATATCATACTATATATCTACCACTATATGGTACACATACACACATTCTTACAGGTTTTAGGAGGCTTTTTCTTTTCAAATAATTCAGTTGAATCAGCTTTTTATGGAAATTGTATCTCAAGTTTTTTTCTTTAACTTTTGCCATAATAAAACTTGAAGCTGAGAATGAGAGGACGTGTGAAAAATCTTAAGAAAACTATTAAGAAATTAAGAAGATGATAAATATAGAGAGAGGAATAGCACATTACTTACAGCATTAAGAAATTCCCTAGAGAAAGAAAATGTTTGTATAAACACAGCAACATTCCTAAATGAAGCTCAGTGTTCACAGAATTTAGTAAACTATTGTTTTGGGCAGGTAATAGATGTGCAGATATAATCAGGTTGAAATTTCAAATATCACCCTTGAATTTGAGAATAGGGAGAGATGACTTAAGATCAGTGAAAAGGTGGCAGAGAAAAACAGAAAAGATAATTTAGGTGTAGCTGGAAACCAATGTGAAAGTAGATTCCAGATTAGTATATATCATACTATGCCCTTTCTGACCGCTATCCTCCTGGAAAGTTCAAATACAGAAAGGTTTCAAGGACAATTAAAGGACATTGGCAATATCTTTGTATTTATTCTCTGTATTTATTCTTTGACTATTATTTTAATATATACCGTCTGCTTTTTCAAATATTAGAGCAAGCCATGGTTGAACACACTTTAAAGTGTTCAATGGCCTCACCATTTCCCTTACCCTTTTTCATGGAACTACATAAGAGAGGATGGAGAAGTAACTCAACAAAGATTTATCTGTACAACTTGGAAAGTAAGAAAATAATGTAGTATAGATATGATGGCTCCGTGAAAAAAAAGCAGGTTATTAAGCAATTTAGCCCAGTATATTTTGTCACTCTTTTTAGCAGATCATTCTCTCTGCAATACACCATACCTTTTATATTTGAAATTCAATTTATATCATCTGTATCATCAAGTATAAAACAAAAGTATATTACTTAATATAATTTTTCACTTAATGTTTTATAATCCAAATGTTGAATATGTGATAGTCAATTGAATCAGAGAGCAATACAAATGAATGCACATTTTTGTGCATTAATATGTGTACTTCTTTGGCACTATTTTTTGAAAACTCAAGAAGTGACTACCTGAGAGATTCTATTTTGCTTGCATAGACAAATTTCAGACTAATAGTTCATGAGACCGTTTCTAGTTTTGCATGTTTCTGAACAACTGATAGAAAAGCTAACTAAAATTGGGCTGGCTAGGTCACGCAGTTGTGACGTGTTGCTCAAGGGAAGCTGGATCCCACATGGTGACCTTAGTTTCTAATCCCCAGGCCACTTGTACCAAAATGTGCTGGACACACACCATTGCCTTAAGTTCAATAGGCTAGAGGACTGGAGGAAGGGGATCATGGCATGTCCAGACTCTGTGGAGGATACTCTTATCTTTGATTTTCTCTCTCTCTTTCTCACATGCACACACACTCTATGGTGAATAAAGGGGAAAAAGTAAAAGGAAAGGCTAACTGAAATTGTTTTATGCCAGGGCCAGCAGATGGCATAATGGTTACATTGCTAGACTCCCATGTAGTTGACCGTGGTTCAAGTCCCAGACCTAGTGGCTTAAAACTCATGCCAGGTGTGTGTGCATGTGTCCCCAAAATCCCAAGAGGAGAATGGAGGAGAAGGGTTTGTGACACAGATTTCCCCTCTGGGGGGGGGGCGGGGATGTCTTGCTTTCTGTCTCTCTGTCTTTCTCTGTCTCTCTTGCGAGCATAAGCAGCCTAGAACAAAAATTTCTCTAAAAAGAAGAAAATGGTTTTATGCCAATAATAGATGAACTATGTTCCTAAAAAACAGCAAAAATTAGAACCATTAAATAGCTTTATGCAGTTTGAGGAAGATGTAAACAATATTCCAGAATATTTTTTTTTTCTTGTCTACCAAGCTGGTTCCCTTCTTGGATATCACCTCTCAATTGATTTTAAGTACACTGAAAGACAAATTCTAGAAGTATACTCTTCTAGGATCAAGTCCAGCAAAAAAGATACGATATGATTCCTTGAAAGTTTAAAAAGCTTCTCATAGGATTTTTTGGATTCAACCAATCTGAATTGGGTGGTTTCTGTATCCCATATTTGAATCAATCAATAGCAGAATAGAATTGCTATCCCAGAAGGACTTAGTGTAAAAAAGTATCGTTTTGGGGAAGCAAAAGCAAGATATTTTAACGAGATGGAATGTGGCTGATGGGTAGAACGACTGTCCATTGCAACACATAGGCCCCGTCTCTTCCCAGATACCCAGGGAAAAGTGTTAGGAGACCAGAGAATGTTATGTTTCAAAGTAAAGGGGTACAGAATAGACTAGAATGCCTTTGGTACTGCAGTCTATCCATTCTAGGGGGCTGGATTTAGCTACAACTGCTGCAGGGAGAGATTTGTGCTAGAGCAAGAAGACTGAACCAATGGGCTGTCAGAAATCTATTCAGTTTGGGATATAAACCATATCACTGCCTCCAAACCTTCCATAAAGTTGCCAGCTCGCAAATTACAGACAGATATAGTTACAATCAGGCATTGTTTCTGGATGGACAGGTCTATGTGGGTCCAAGTGCATTACCAGTGTACCACCAACTAGCCTCTGATATGTTTTCATTGTGAATTTCTTAATGAATTCAGGCTCCTTTTTTCTCAATTTATAGTTAATATTTTTATAGTCTCATAATTTGTTGCATCAAAATCAATTTAGATATCATTTATTGAATGTTGTTGCATAAATTGATACTTAATATTATTTTTAATTGCTTTCCTTTCTCAGGAAAAGAGCCTTGTAATTATAAACTTATGTAGCAAGTAGCAAATGAAAAGAAGAAACATCAAATGCACAGTCCACACAAGTATTCTTGAATAGAAAACAATGACAAAGATTTCCTCATAACAATTTAGCTCCTTAACAACTTGCATTAGGTAAATATGAGTGAGATCAAAATTTGCTTTTTGTTTTTTTTACTATTAAATAATCCCCAAATCCTCTTAAACATTAAACCTTATTATGTAGGAAATATTTCAGTTAAAGATATTATATTTTCAAAAACTGATCTCTAATGTTGCCCATTTGAGGAAAGTAGCATAAGCTATTTGACGAAAGTAATTACAAAAATAAAGTACTACTTTGTAATAATAGTTTTTTTGAATTGCTAAAAGAATGACATTTTGACAAAACACTCAGCTCAGAAACCCTTTCGCAGACATCATTCATTCAACTTATATAATTTTGTGCTTTATATGAGCCACGTAAAGCTCCAGGTGCTAAGTAAAAACTGGAGGGGACCAGCAGTTAGTGTAATGGCTATGTCACTGGACTCCCTTGTAGTCGACCACGGTTAGAGTCCCGGACTCGGTGGCTTAAACTCACTTGGGTGCGTGTGCGTGTGTGCCCAAGATCCCAAGAGGAGAATGGAGAAGGGATTGAGGAATTGCCATCCCCCCTGGGGGGTGATTTCTCTCTTTCTGTCTCTGTCTCTGTCTGCCTGGCGAGTACACGCGCCCTATAGCAAAAACCTCTTCAAAAAAAAAAAAAAAAAAAAAAACTGGAAAAGTCACATTTCCGTATTCAAGGAAAGATAACTTTTTGAGGCATGGTATAGAAAGAAAGACACAAAAGTTTATAATGCCTTGTGTTACAGACCTGAGGCAATCAGAACATGTGTAAAGCACAACTACAAACTCAACTTTAGATACTAATTTTCATGTAGTCTTTACATGAAAATTCATTTCTATTATTGTGGAAGCACCTTTGACCACTTGTTCCAGGATCCTAAGCCCTAAAATAAAATGATCTTGACCCCAGAAGTGTGCATTTTCTGTGGCACCGAGCTGTGCTAGGTCATGTATCCTTCTGCTCAATGAAGCCTTTCGGGTTGCATAGCACTCTGGTTTTTCTGCGTCATCGTGATGCAAAAATGCATCGTAGGCATTTTTAAGGGACCACAGCTAGTCCTGAGAGGCTCTTTTCATATCACACAATTCGTTTCTCTTTAGACTTTGCCATTTTTATTGGCTGTTCCACCAGGAAGTTCCACAGCCACAGCAAATGTAAGATTTTTCCTTTTCATTTTATGTGCTGAGGGAAACTTGTCTTCATTATTCCCAGTAAAAACATGTTTTCTTCTCCATCATTCTTTCTTTCTGACTTCTAAGAATTTTTTTTTCCCCTTTATCTTATGTCTTCTTTCTCTTAGGCTTCAGATCTGGGACCAGAAAGACATGACTATTGACAGGCTCTTTCAATTTTATTCACTCTTTCATCCATATATATATATATTTTTTTTTTGAGAGGTTTTTGCCATAGGGCACGTGCGCTTGCCAGACAGAGAGAGACAGAGAGACAGAAAGTGAGAAATCACTCCCCCAGGGGGAATGATCACACCCAATCCCCTCTCCTCCATTCTCCTCTTGGGATCTTGGACGCGCACACACATGTGCCTGGCGTGAGTTTAAGCCACCGGGTCTGGGACTCGAACCACGGTCGACTACGTGGGAGTCCAGCGACATAGCCATTACGCTAACTGCTGGTCCCATCTATCATCCATATTTTTATGTGATCTTATCCTTATTGACTGTTAGTGCCTTTATTCAAATGATAAGATGGTTATAAATATGAGAGAGAATTACTTCTCAATAAAATCTAAATATGAAATTTAAAACCACAAATCTTCTCAAAGAAAACAGGAAATATACTTGTGACCTTGAATTAAGCAATGTATTTTGACATATAGCACTAAAGCTTGGTTCAAAAGTATTGTAGTTATAGTTTGTAAGTATTAAAACCTTTTCTTCTGTGAAAAATATTAAGAGAATACAACCAAAATCTATAGGCAGAGATAAAATATATAAAGTCACATTTCTTAGAGAAGACTGATTTCCAATATACATAAATAACACTAAAATCCCAACCATAAGAAAAAAATAACAGGACTAGCTGGTGGCATGGAGGTTAAGTCAGCTGGATTCCCCATGGCTGACTGCATAGTTTGAATCCCAGAATTGGCATTTGTAAAACACTGGAGGTGTGTGTACATGCAAACCCAAAATCCCAAAACGAGAATGAGAAAGAACTAGGGTGTGGTCATACCCCTCTGGAATGGGGAGTTCTCTCTCTCTCTCCAGGGAATGTGTGGAGTTAACAAAAACTTTTAAAAAATGCAAAAAGATTTAAACAAATGCATTAACATATAAAATGCATGAATATTGAAGAAACATATGAGATGATGTACAACATAAATGGTCATTAGCAAAATATAAATTGAGATGCTGTTTCACATCTTTAAGATGGTTAGATACAAAGCATGTGCATGTATTTTGCTGAATGAAAGACACCAAACACTTGGACAGTATATTGTGTGATTTCGTTTATAAGATATCCTGTAAAAGACAAAAACTATAGGAATTGAAAGGAAATTAGTGATTTTTTCAGAGCTCAAGGGAATTTTTGAGGTGATGAAACTATTCTGCATCATGAAGGTTTGCCGCTATGCATATGTCAAAAGTTAGAGATCAGTAGAACATAAAAAAATTAATACATATAACTTTTAAAAAACAACCATCTTACCCCAAATAGAATATTAATGATAAATAGCTATTTTGTACTTTTATCCTTGTAACCACACTGAAGGAAGAAAGGAAGTAAAATGCAATCCAAGTTATTTTGAAAAATAGTATTTTGAATAAACAATATGACAAAGGGCAAGGAAGACGTACAAACGTTTGCTTCTGAGTGTGTCTAGATACAATGGCAACCCAGCCACTGGTTTCCAAATTTCTCAAGTAAAATGAGCCAAGGCTCCTTTGAGAAGCAGTTGTTTCTAGGGGTCAGAAGAGAGAAAAAAAGTAATAATCCTGGAGAATATTGTGATACCAAAATAAAAGATAGGGATATGTCAAAAGGACACACGAACCAAAGTTAGGAAGCTCAATTGCCAAAGCTGGAATAATCTGTCAAAAGCAGCAACTCCAAAGTAATGATGATATTGGTTTCTAACACACAGGACAAAAAAGCCATGAGTCTATACTAATAGTGAAAAAAAAAACAAAAAGCAAGCTTTTATCTCATGTTTGTGTGTGTGTGTGTGTGTGTGTGTGTGTGTGTGTGTGATATTATATATATATGTATATGATAGAATGAATAAATGGAGAGGAAAAACAGCTCTTCCTTAACAAAGAATTTATGTTGTTATATATGGAATGAATGTAGAGGAAAAAAATTACACTAAGAACATCACAGTGATAACTTGCAGGCAAGAGACACTAATAAAGTCAAACTCAGTGGGATTGTTGAGGAAAAATTGCATATTTGCATGGTCACAAACTATATTCCCCAAGATATATGTTAATTATGATGGAGAAAAATAGTAACATTGATTGAAGAAAGAGATCCCTTTAACAAATCACTGAAATTAACATGATTGGTTATTATAACATATTGGAATTATCTAATATTAGTATGCTATAATGAGAAGAGCCTATCATGTGTGTGATATGCTAAAAATGCACAACTTCAATCTACATGAGAAAACACCAAGCAAACCCAAAGGCAGGGACACTCTACAACATAACTGACAAATACACTTCAAAACTGTCAGTCATGAAAGATGGAACCGAGGAACTGTCATAGACTGAAGGAGACTAAAGAGACATGACAACTAAACGCAATGTGAGATCCCAGACAGAATTCTGAAACAGACGGAAGATATTATTAATGGGAATATTGACAAAGACCAAGTAAAGTCTGAAAGTTAGTTAATAGACTTGTACTAATATAAATTTCTTAGCTTTAATAATTGTACTATGATAATGCATGATATCAACATTAGGGTAGGGTAGGCTGGGTAGAAGGCATAGTTTAAGTTTCTACATTATTTTTCCAACTTTTTGTAAGTTTACATTCTTTTTCAAAATAAAGAGTTAAAAAAATTTACTTATGTACTTTTGGTGAGTGTCGATAATTGCATTTAGGAAGCAATTATATGAAAATCATTACTATATCAAATACATATAATACTTATGTATATAACATACCAAACACATAATAAACACACTGTACATGTACAGTAATATATGATCACTAATATATCATATATAATCACTAATACATCAAATACATTTAATATTTATGTATATGATATAACAAATACATAAAAAACACATTATGTGTGAGGCTGTGCACCAGCGAGTCTGCCAAGATCATTAGGTTCCGGTTTCTCAGAACACAAACAATTACCAATGCCAAAAGCCATGATTGGTCCCCCTTCAAAAACCTCACCTGCAAAACCATACTCTGATTGGCCACTAGAATCCCTCAGATTTGCATATCCGGCACCTCATGATTGGTCCACAAAGGAACCAATCATAACCCACCTTTTAAAACCAATCACGGCCCACCAGCATGTATATAACAATGATCCCTGGCCCACAATCACACAGATGACCCAGAAGACCCTGAAGAGTTGTAACACCCTGTCGTCTCTGGACGACCCTGAAGAGCTGTGCCACCACGTTGTCGCTGTGCTACTCACAATAGACAATGCGACCCTGAGGAGTTGTAACACTGCGTAGTTTCCGTGCTGTACCGTGCTGCTCACAATAAACGGGTGACCCTGAAGACACTGTGTCGTCTCCGTGTTGTAACACTGCATGTATCATCTCCATGCCACTCATCCCGTCTCTCACTCCTTCCCTCAGGAAACCTGTTCGTCTGTCCCTCGGGTCAGGACAACATTATATATGTATAAAATAATCCTCACACAGCTGGAAAACACTAGAATCAAGTTTTTCTTCTTACTAGTCTTTGGTCAGTTTATTGAATACTAATTTCCTTTTTAAATTTTTTTAAGAATTATTTGTTTATTCAATTCTATTTGTTATTATCATTTTTTAATTTGACCAGAGAGAGACAGAAAGAGAAAGGGAAAGTGAGAAAGCAAGGCACCAGGTCCGGGATTCAAACTGTAGTCGGCCATGTGGGAATCCAGCACCTTTAACCACCATGCCACCTGCTGGCCCCTTGAATACTAATTTCTAATAGATAAAAATACGAAGAGAAAATTCAGCATGAAGGGAAAGTTTTCCAGTGATGAATTGTTTACCTAAAAGCAATGAAATAATTCTCAGAGGGCTTTACGATACGTGATTTAAGTATATATTTGTGTGTGTATATGTGGTGAGGAAGAGAAAGAGAATGTCTTTATCAGAAAAAAATGGCAGAGAAGATTCATGAGACCTCCACGCAGCAAAAATTGTGGGGCTTATTGATATACATTATATTAAATGAGAGACAGGATAAAATTAAAATTTATTTTGAGATTTCTGTCTTTATCACATAGGTACGATATTGATGATGTTAGCAATTATTGGTAAAATAACACTAACTACCTTGCATAAAAAGAAAATGAGATCAAGACTAGAGGGTTCAGTCAAGGCAATAGTGGGACATACAAATATTCCAGAAAAAGTTAGAAGTCCAGTTATGAGGAATATCACAGTAAAAGTAATTAATATCTGCATAAAGTTAAGAGTGATTTTATCATTCTCACATAGGTGGAAAACACCAGAACCAAGCCCTTCCTGCTAGTTTCACGGCAATTTATTAAATAACAATTTTGTCACAGAAAAAGACACAGCAAGAGAAAATTCAAAATGAATGATGAATTGTTCAGTGATGAGCTGTTTACCTAGAATCAAAGAACTCTCCAGAGGACTCTACTCAAAATCAGATCTGCAGGGAAAAGTACATAATTATTTAGTCGGGCTTCACCCATCAACCAATATACCTGACTGAAAATACATATTTAATGAAATAGGAACAAATGAGAACCTAAAGTTTCTGTACACTTTAAAACAAGCTATTTTGGGACTAGCAGTTAGTGTAATGACTATGTCGCTGGACTCCCACGTAGTTGACTGCAGTTTGAGTCTCGGACCCGGTGGCTTAAACTAACACCAGGCGCGTGTGCATACGTGCCCAGAATCCTGAGAGGAGAATGGAGGAGAAGGGATTGCGGTGTGGCCATCCCCCTTGGGGGGTGATTTCTTGCTTTCTGTCTCTCTGTCTCTCTCTGTCTGTCTGGCGAGCACATGTGCCTTATAGCAAAAACCTCTTCAAAAAAAAGAAAAAAAAAACAAACAAGGTATTTTCAAATAAAATATGCAGTTTTTCCCAGAACTTCTTGTTTTAATCATTTCAGGTACTGGA